TGTGACTCAGACTTTTTCCTGCCTGGAGTGGGGCAGAGATTTCCATTCTCACATTCTTTCCACGGAATCTTTGCAAGCTCCTCATACCACACCCGCAGTAGTATATCACAATCATGCAGTGGGGTTTTACTACTTTGGTCTATTAAAACAATAGCTCCCATTATATGCTTTTAATAGGGATCTTAGGGCTGAGCACCTTAATCTGCACATTAGACTCATGAGATCCCTAGTGTTGTTATTTCCCTTTTATAGATGAGGAGATGAAGGCTCAGTGAGGTTAAGGGCTTTGACCAAGGTGATATATCTGGGGAGAACTTAGGTCTCAGCCATTGAACAAGATATTGCTGAATTAGATCCTTGGGGCCATGTCCCAGCTTTGTCACCAACCACTCTTATGACTTCGGGCAAGTTCTTGGATCTCAGTTTCTTCAAGTGAAATAGTGGGATCCACTGTGACTGCCTGTCTTCCATAGCTGTTGAGAGGACCAGATGGAAAAACAAAAATAAAAATACTCCCCACCAGGGTAAAGTCCTGGGACCCAGGAGTGTCATTAATAATGCTGTTTTATTATTGGCAAAGCCCTGGGCCAAGTGTCCCCACCCTCCCCCCAGCCTAGGAAATGGGGTCCCAGAGGAGAGCCAGCTTGAGGGAAGAATCCCAGCAGGCCTGGTTGCGGAAAGGAGCCTGGAGGTTTAATGGGCTGGGGCTCTTCCTACAGAGGCCAAGCGCAACAACTCTTCAGAAGACTATGAGGTGGATAAGTCTCAGCAGGTGAGCAAGGCTGAAGATGGAGTGCCCAGAAAGAAGGAAAGGCTGTGGTCAGGGGACAGGCTCATGGAGGTGGGTGAAGGTCAAGCAGAGTTGGGGGTATATCTTGAGAGAGCTGCATGGTCTGGGGCTGGTAGTAAAGTATAATGACCTAATGGCTATACAAATCAAGCATGTAACAGGTGCTCAGTAAGTAGGAGAGCCCTCGCTCTCCCCTGTAGAGGCTCAGGCCATGTCACATCTATGTCGAAATCCTTCACTAGTCCAAACACACAAGTGGACACTCAAAAATGTTTACTGAGTGGGAAAAGACCATTTCTTCTAAAGCCCCTATTTTATAGATGGGAAGAATGAAGCTCAGATATTGAAAGTCATAACAAGGGAGCAGCCAAGCTGGTCTGGGAGCTGGTCTGGTATCTACAAGGGAGCTAGAGGGAGCTCAGTGCTTTAGGTACCAGAGGGGGCTCAGTGCTTTGCAGCAGTAGACTTTAGAACAGATTCTCTCACCAGCTGTGACCTTGGTGGCACCCTTTTCTTCTCTGACCCTCAAGTTATTCATTAGGTAAAGGGTATAAACATCGCCTGGCAGGTCATGAGATGAGAGGTGATTACATAAAGTGTTGTGTCAGGGTGGACATTTGGGCAGTTGGCTTTACCGTCCTCACTCCCACCAGTACCGTAACTGGCAATGGACAATCCCAAAAGCAAATGGTCCCCTATTAATACCTATAGGGACCCAAAACACTGGAAACACCCAGTAATAGTAATTCAAAATAAAAGCACTTCATTTAAGCTACAAAATAAATATAAATATACCTCTCTTTTTCATTTTTATCATGATGCCACATTAATATTTTTAAAATAGCAAATATTAAATTCTTTCAAAAACATTTTGTAGTGCTCGTATGCAATGGGCGCCCTAAACATACACGTTCTTTGTCACATGGGCACATCTTCCGGAATAGCAGTGTGGGGAAAGAAGTGTTTCAGTGCCTTTGGGATAAGCACAAAATCCTCAACTGGTCAGTCATCTAGTGGCCCACCTAGTGGGAAGAGCAGCCTGGGCTCATGGCTGAGTTGTCCCTGGCTCAAGGCAAACTGGTAGCCCAGCCCTACTGATAGTCTAGCTCTAGTTCTATGTCCCACTTACTGTGTGACCTTGGGAACAACGCAGCTAATTTCTGAGCCTGGCTTCTATGTCCTCATCTATATAATAAAAGGGTGAGACCAAAACTTTTCATCGCTAATGGGTCGTTTATTCCTATTTAATGATTCATCAGCAAAACAAGACAAGTGGAGGGAGATGCATTAGGTCTTCTGTCTCTGGAGCACTGAGTTCCTGGGAAAGGTTATGTTGTGTTATGAAATAGAAACATCAGGCCCCATTACTGTCCCGAAAGTGCTCCTGGTCCAGCGAGCCATAGACACAAATAGACAGGCACAACCCACCATAATGACGACAAAAGTAAGCACCAAAATTTCAAGATCCTAGGAAGAAGGCCCTGAGCCAGACAGGACAAGCAAAGGTCTCTTGGAGGAGGTAATATTTGAGCTGAGTTTGGCAGAAGCACAGGGTAAGAGTAAGGAAGTGCCATTTGAATAGAACAAGGAGAAATAAGCCTCCGAATAGATGGGCTTTCAATGACAAGCTTGGGAATCATCTCCTTTTGAGAAAAATCTTATCAACACTTGAGTGGGAGACAGGACACTGGGTTTAAGACCTAGCTCTCCTACGAAACTGCTGATTGTCTTGAAAAGACATTCACTACTTCTGGACTTCAAACTTAGCGTCTAACCCCTCCTGCTGCTTAATTGAAGTAAGACAGAGGAGAGGGGAGGGATCCAATGGGGTTTGTTGGCTCTGAATTTTTGGCCTTCAAACTCCAACATGGTCTAATTCAGTGACGTTCAATCTACAATTGACTTCTGTGAGTTTTAAGAACATTCCTTAAAGTGTGGTTTGCCTGTCCTTTAGTATTAGAAAACCCTAGTGATTGGCTTAGACAAGTAGGGTTTGGTTAACTGGGGGTTAACTCTTTGAAGCCAAGGTGTAGCAGGTGTAGTTTTGCTTTCCTTCCTGGGTGATAGGAACTGGTCTCCAGAATATTCTTTCATGGGAGCATCCACAATGGCGTGATCTCTGAGAAAGGTATTTTGTCAGCCCTCACTCTCTAACTCAGAACCAGCCTACCCCACACTTAGGAGACGAGAGAACATATTCTAAAATTTATGGCTGCTTTTGACAATATCAGCCAAAGAAAGGGAGAAGAGGGGAAATCTTTGCCGCAATCTCTCCTGACTTGAAAGCTGAGCTTCTAAATTCTCCAAGGAGCAGTTATAGAAGGCAGAGTGCAAAATGCTTTTTTTCAAGTATTAGGAAACTTATCAGAGCCTGCCCCAGATTCACTCTGGATGAATGTTTCTCAGCCCCCTCATTCTTTCCAAGCTAACAGTCCCAGGGTTCAGTATTTGGTGTGCCTCAGGGTTTGTTATTTGGTGCTCCATTATTTTTGTTTTGTCTTCATCGCAAATGCCTGGAACTAAATCATAAAATGTTACTCTAAAACACACATAAGAAAGGGGCAGGCTTGACATTGTGCGTCAGGAATTAGGGTCATCTTGTGTTGGAGCCGGATGCACTCACAGAAACAAGATGGCGTCTCACTGAAGTGGGGGAGGAAGGACTTCGAAGTCCACTTGAGATAAAGGCTGTGGATATTTTCTACAATTCTTGGATGAAAGATACCTAGTACATCTTACATCATAAAAAAAAGTACATTTTTTTTTCTTTTTAAAAGAAGGCAGAGAGCTGATCTACAAGTCAGAGACCTGAATTCCAGTCCTAACTTTATGACGGACTGGCCATGAGAGTTTGGTCAGTCCCTTGCCCTTTTGGTCTTTTTGTCCTTTTTGTAATGAAAAAAGTTGGCTGGACATTTCCAGATCTGGCATATTTATGACTCTTGGCATGAATGATGTTTAAATAGAGGTAAGAGAAATGGTACAGTTCTGTGAAAATCAGGGCAGGGGTAATATTAGGATCATCAGGATTGAAGACACAATGAGACAAACATGAACGCAGGCTTGTTCCTGGGTCATTTATTCAGAAAGGCATGCCCAGCATAATAGGGGAGTCAATATTTTCCCTCAGTTAAAGACCTCCAGTTCTAGGACTAGCAGTTAACATAATGGCTATGTTGCTGAACTCCCACATGATCAACTGCAGTTCGTGTCCTGGACTCAGTGGCTTAAAACTCATGCCAGATGTGTGTACGTGTGTGCCCAAGATCCCGAGAGGAGAATGGAGGAGAAGGGATTGTGGTGTGGCCATCCCCCCTGGGAGTGATTTCTTGCCCCTATAGCAAAAACCTCTCAAAAAAAGTAAATAAAAACAAAACAAACAAACAAACAAAAAACAAAAAAGCCTCCAGTTCTGTGGGCCAACAAAAGCATACAAGGGGAGAACAACTTTTAGAATAGGGCTTTTGCTTTAGGGCCCTTGTCACACTTGCTCTTTTCTAAGCAACAATAGCTCCCAGGACTCCCAAGTTTCTACATGACTATACCACCTTCGTATCTGCAGCTAGAGAAGTCTACAGGATAGCAGACATGAAGTGCTTCATCAGGAACGTGAGCGTTACATCCTCCACAGGGGCAGAAGTCTGGGCACCTGGCTTAAATGGAGCCAGGAAGAAGCACTCTCAAGGCACACAGGAGAAAAGCGAACCTAGTAAATACGTGAGCAGCAGCACATTTCAGGGCACCTTGAGGAAGAAGCCCCTAAGCAACAGGGTGGAACCTGGAGAGAAAGCAAAGGTGAACGTAAGGACTGGATTTAGGAGACCTAATGACCCCAACCACACAGAGTGGAGCCTGAGATAAAAACGGGAAATCTTTCCAAAGCATTTTCATAATCATAGTTTAATAATGAATAGTTTAGCTCTGATTTTTCCAATAAAATGTAAACTCCAGGAAGACGGGAACTACGTCTGACTTCATCACTTGTATTACCCACACACAGCGTAACGACTTCCATTTGGTAGGTTACGAAGAATTAATACTTAAAGATATGGGGTTCATACCACAGCCCACCATCAGTTCTCCACAGTTGCTTCTAAATAACGGTGCCTTTATTAACTATCGAGTAAACCTTATAGAATGATCACTCCAACATTCTATGTTCCCAGATGTTCCAGCTGTCCATCTCCCTGAAACCCTGCTCTGTCCCACTATGGAGGCCACAACCTGTAATGGATCAGTGGATGGCTCACCAGTCTTCTACCTGGTGGGCATCCCCTCTCTGCCAGCGTCCTTCTTCCTCCTGGTGTTTTTTATTTTCCTCCTCTTCTACCTGCTCATCCTTATGGGTAACGCCCTGATCCTGGTGGCTGTGGTGGTAGAGCCCAGCCTCCACAAGCCCATGTACTTCTTCCTGATCAACCTCTCAGCCCTGGACATCCTTTTCACCACAACCACTGTCCCCAAGATGCTGTCCCTATTCCTGCTTGGGGACCACTTCCTCAGCTTTTCTTCCTGCTTATTGCAGATGTACCTCTTCCAAAGCTTTACATGCTCTGAAGCCTTCATCCTGGTGGTCATGGCCTATGACCGCTATGTGGCTATCTGCCGCCCACTGCACTACCCTGTCCACATGACCCCACAGACCAATGCTGCACTGGCGGCCAGTGCCTGGCTCACTGCCCTCCTCCTGCCCATCCCGGCAGTGATACAGACCTCCCAGATGGCATATAGTGATATCGCTTATATCTACCACTGCTTCTGTGATCATCTGGCTCTGGTCCAGTCCTCCTGCTCTGACACTACTCCCCAGACCCTCATGGGCTTCTGCATCGCCATGGTGGTGTCCTTCCTGCCCCTCCTCCTGGTGCTTCTCTCCCATGCCCCCAGCCTGGCCTCAGTGCTTCGCATCAGTTCCCGAGAAGGCCGCTCAAAAGCCTTTTCCACCTGTAGTTCCCACCTCCTGGTAGTGGGCACCTACTACTCATCCATTGCCATAGCCTACGTGGCCTACAGGGCTGACCTGCCCCATGACTTCCATGTCATGGGCAATGTAGCATATTCCATTCTTACACCAATCCTCAACCCTCTCATTTACACCCTAAGAAACAAGGACGTCAAGGCAGCCATCACCAAAATCACATGCCTCAAGACCAAGGCCACGACAGGAATGCTTGACTTTTAAATGCTGCCAATGATTCTGCTCTCAGTCCACCAAATAGCAGTGCTTAGTACAGAGCAGAAACCCAGTAAATATTTTTGAGTGAATAAAACAGTGAATTAGAATGGAGAAAGAAAATCAGGTGGGTAGGTGACTCCAAGAATGGCTCTCATACTTTGGTTTAGGGAATAAAGTTCATCTGTACTCTACAAGAATCTTAAATTGCACAGTATAAACATTTTACTGCTTAAAAATTCAGGAAAACTTTACTAAAATTGAATTAAAAAAAAAACTTCGAAGCCAAAAATTCTTTATAAACAAAGTCAGAAACAAATAAAAGACATTACAGAGAAAAGGTGAGTATTCATCATATATAAAGATCTCTTAAAGTTTTAGAAGAAAAAGTCTAACATTTAAATTAAAAAATGGACAAAATATGTCAGTAGAGAGATTGCCAAAAACTATAATGCCTAAAGCATTGAAATGTAATCTGTCTACTAGACAAAAAGAAGACAAATTAAAACTAGGCTGGAATGTCACTTTTTATTTACTCAGATTGGCCAAAAAATTCAATATTTTGACAATATGCATGTGGAAAAACAAAACTCTTATACCTTGCTTGTGAAGATGCAAATTGCTACTGACAATATGCATGTGGAAAAACAAAACTCTTGTACCTTGCTTGTGAAGATGTGAATTGCTATAACATTACTATAACATCTACCAAAGTATGGATGCATTTCCTCTTTGACCCAGTAATGTCACTTTTAGGGCTTTCTCACAAAGGTTCACTGGCAGTTATTCATTAGGTTAGTCATTCAATAAGGGGACCAGTTGGACCAGCTCAGAGTTGCAGTAATGCACTGTTCAGGTGAAGCTGGTTACCTGTGGAAGACCAATGGTTGGATTCTCTAGTCAACCTGTGCATGCTAGGCATGCACGCCCATGATCCTGTCTGACTGGGAAGGCTAAAGGGGATCATGAAGTGAGAACCTGATGGGGGTGCCTCTCTCTCTCTTTTTCCTTTCTGTGTCTCTCTTTCTCATGAAATAAATAAACTTTTTTTAAAGAAAAAAGTTATTTATTATTTTTATATTTTCTTTTTTTTAATTTGCTATAGGGCACTTGTGCTCACTAGAGAAAGAGAGAGAGAGAAAGCAAGCCACCAGGTCTGGGACTCACACTATGGTCAGCTATGTGGAAGTCCAGTGCCTTAACCACAACGCCACCTGTTGGTCCCATAAATAAACTTTTTTGAGGCCAGTCAGTGATGTAGTGGTCAAGGCAGCTGAATCCCACATGACTGATGGTATGCTTCAAGTCCTAGGCCTGGTGGCTTGAAAAACATGCCTGGTGCATGTGCGTTTTTGCCCAAAATCCAAGAGGAGAATGGAGGAGAAGGGATTGCAGCATGGCCATCCCTCCGGGGGGTGCTTTCTCACTTTCCTTTTCTCTGTCTCTCCTAAGAAAGTGCTCATGCCCTACTAGCAAATAAACAAAAAGAAATAAACTTTTAAAAGTAGAGAACTGGAGGGATCAGCAGATGGCACAATGGTTATGTCACTGAACTCGCACATAGTCGTCTGTGGTTCAAGTCCTAGATCCAGCAGCTTAAAACTCACGCCAGGTGCATGTGCGTGTGTGCCCAGAATCCCAAGAGGAAATCGGAGGAGAAGGGATTGTAGTGTGGCCATCCCTTCTGGTGGGTGATTTATCGGTTTCTGTCTCTTGGTTTCTCTGTCTCTCCAGTGAGCACATGTGTCCTACAGCAAAAACCTCTCTACAAAAAAATAAATAAATAAATAAATAAATAAATATATAGGACTGATTGAATAAACTATAAAAATATGCAACACAGTACAAAAAGGAAATGAGGAAGATCTCTATGTACTGGCCTGGTGTCATCAGTATGATGTGTCATTAGATGAAAAATGTAAGCTGCAAGACAGTGTTTTTGAAATAAAAGAGATATTTGCCTAAAATTTATAGAAAAGGTTAGAAAAAATAGCTTTTATGAACTAATAAAGATGATTTAAGGAGAGGGAGGGAATAGAGTAGAAGGGACAAGAATGGGAACAAGATCAACTTAAATGTACCTTCTGACTTTAGAAGTATGCAAATTGTTTATAAAGTTAAAATAAATCAAAGAGGAAAAAAAAAAAAACACAATTCTCCATATTTAAAATAAACACCTGACCCTGGCTGTTTCCCAAGTTAGTGAAATGGTGATGCAGAAAATTACTATTAGTGACTTTTAAACCATGCTCTGACTGTATAGCCTTTTTTTAAATTTGCCAGAGGATGCTTGCACTCACCAGAGAGACAGAGAGAGAGAAAGTGATGAAGCACTCCCCATGGAAAAGAGTCACACTGTAGATCTCCTCCATTTCTCCGTGCTTTCGGGATTCGGGGCATGGATAGAGAAGTGTCTAGCATGGTTTTCAAGCCACCAGGTCACAGACTTGAACTGTTCAGTCAGCCGTGTGGAATCTAGCCCCTCAAATACCACGCCACCGACTGGCCCTCACCATCCATCTCAAGAGGTATATAAGGGTTCTAAAACTCACATCTTAAACTACATTGAGGTTAAACTGATTTGTTTTTAAAAATCTATTACAGTTTGGGAACCAGCAGTTAGCGTAATGGCTATGTCGCTGGACTCCCACATAGTCGACCGCGGTTTGTGTCCTGGACCCGGTGGCTTAAAACTCACGCCGGGCACGTGTGCGTGCGTGCCCAAGATCCCAAGAGGAGAATGGAGGAGAAGGGATTGCGGCGTGACCATCCCCCCTGGGGGGTGATTTCTTGCTTTCTGTCTCTATGTCTCTCTCTGTCTGTCTGGCGAGCGCACGCGCCCTACAATGAAAATCTCTCAAAAAAAAAAAATCTATTACAGTTTTACTTCCTTAGTACAGATTATATAAAAAACACATATTTCTACAACCAAAGCCATTTTTGGCACTATGGCATGAGCAGCAGCAAAGACCAAGACTGAGTCCCTGCCCCTGCTATAAACCACTGCTCAGGGAATCTGGCCAGTTATGGTGGCAGGTTCATTGCACTAGGTCCCTTTCATCATTGGGTGATTTGGCTTTATTGGAATAGAAACCTATTGTGGATCTTAATTGCCTGTCCTGTTCACAATGTTTCTGACAGTATCACCTTTTATGAACTTAATAAATGCCTTAACCATCATGATATCCCATGTGGCCTTGCTTGTGACAGAGGAACCCATTTTATAGTAAAAGAAATAAAGCAGTAAGTCACACGCCCATTGGATTCCCTGATCTTACCACGTACCCCATCACTCAGAAGCAGGCAGCCTGGTAGAATAGAGGAATAACCTATTGAAGACTCATTTTTGGGTGTTGACTACCTTGTGGAGCTTGGGTGCTGCCTTATGAGTTGAAATACACACTATTAACCAGCATGCAATAGCAGTTTCCTGTCTGGCCAGAATATCGGTCTCAGAACCACAGTAAGAAATAGAAATACCTCCTTTTGCTACCTCTAAGAACCTAATACTTCCTCCTCCTCAACTTTGGATTCAGCTGGCTTAAGCATTTTCATTCCTAAAAGTGGACTACATCTACCAGGAACGGAATAATCATTGAATTGGAAGCTAGATTAGAACTCTGGGGCTTCCCACCCCACTGAATCAATAAGCAAAGAAGGGTATAACTCATATCTGATTAGAAAGGAAAAAACCTATTGTGTTCCCTGTGTAATGGGAAGGAGAGGTATTTCTGGAACCCAAAGACCTCTCTGGAGTGCGTATTAGTACTAGGTGCAAAGGTAAATGTTAATGGAAAACCAACAAACCAATACAGTAGGATTTTTATATTTAACAGCTCCATACTTCATTCCTTTGACCCCTGTGCCATCCTCTGGTAGTGGGTCAAAGCTCTAGTAGAAAACAGAGCCCTGGATCTGAATTCCACCTCTCCCCCTAAACACCAGTGTTAAAATAGGCAAGTTGGTTCACTTCCTGGACCTCATTTTACTTCTCTTGAACTTCCTGTATATCATATAGAATAATGAAAATGAAGGCTACACTGTTGGTGTACATTGCTGGGCCCTTGGGGACTGTTAGCAAAGATTTTCTCATTATTAGCAAAGCCCAGGGACAAATTCAACCCCATCACATTCATGCTCTAAAAGATCCCAGGGAGCTGATTGATCCTGAGGGATGTGGGTAACCCCCGGGGAGAGCCATCTTGAGGATAAGAACCCCAGAAGGTCTGCCTCTAAGGAGGGTTCTGAGGGCTTAATGGGCCATGACTCAGCCCCGGCCTATTATCTCCACCAAGGGCTCTCGTAGAGAAGACACCAGTGTGGACAAGTCTCAACAGGTGAATGTTGCTGGGGATGGGAGCCCAGAGATAGGCAGAGAAGGCTGAGATGGGGAGCCAGGGACAGGGAGCCAAGGACTACAAAGCTTGGTAAAGATCAGGAAGATGAGTTGTGTGAGCATGGAGGCAGGTGCCCAGGATCCAGGTGCTTGTGTGGGCTGTGGGGCCTTGGGCCAGATTTCCTGACGGGCCTGGACAAAGAGGTGCAATAACAGATGGAATTTAAGTTATGTTGGCCAAGCAAGGTCTTCCCACAGGAGGACCAGGCTGTTGATACAGGAGCCACTGGAAACACTAGCAAACTAGTATTAAATGTTTCCGTGTTAAATGCTGTTGGTAAGCATTGTCTAAGCATTTGCTCCATAAAGAAACCTCCATGAGGTCACATAGAAGGGGAGAAAAGGTTCAAAGATGGGAAAATGACTCTCTCAAAGTCACAGAGCTGGCAGTAGGAGCAGAAGTTGCCACCCTGTCCTTTCTGACTAAAGTCCACACTGCTTAACCACAATAAAGAACCTGGCTCTGAGGCAGGTGCTCAAGTGGGAGAACTCTCACCCTCTCCCTAGGAGCGTGGCCCATATGACAGCTATCTCTGAAACCTCCCCCTCCACTCTGCCAACACAGATTTTTTAAAGTTGCTCACTGAATTGGAAACTCCTCAGAGGGGGTAACTTCAAACCACTCACTGAGGTAGAGAAAACTCAATTCAGAGCCCCAAAGTTGCAGCAAGCAAAAGGCAGAGCTCCGGAAGTCAAGACTCTTGGGTACCAAGTGAGGCTCAGTGCTTTGTAGCAGGCAGACTCCAGAGCAGCCTCTGCCCTCACCCCTCACTCATGCTGCCCTTGGGCAGGGCAAGTCCTTCTCTGACCCTGCGGTTCAGATTGATTGGAGGCATATCGGTTCCCTGGCAGGGCTGTCTGATAAGAGATGATGTACGTAAAATGCAGTTGGAGAGTTGAGTGGTTGGTTTTCTGTCCTCCTCTCTCCCTCTCTGGGCACTGCAACTGGCTTGTATCCTGCAGAGGCAGACCCACTGGAACAAGTTCTCTGGCCTGGAAAAGTGTCCTTTCTGTCCTAAGCACAAAGCTGCATTAGTACGAGCAGCACATAATTCAAAATGAAGCAACAGTGCTCCTCCGTAAAGAAGTAAGGAAGTCCGGCCAAATTCCAATATTCCAGTATTTCCAAAAATGATGAGTTGGGTGGTTCTCTGGAATATCAAATGTTAAATGATTTTGGAAAGTGCTTTGGTGCCCCTGCTGGTTGGTGACTTATGCACATGTCTGGTCTTCCCGGAGGACAGTCCAGAACGATGTTATGTACCCTTGCTCACTGGGATCTCAGCATCCACGTCCCATCTGCAAGAAGCAGGCAGTGGAAGAAGAGTGAGTGCAGCTGCGATCGATGGTCTCTTAGAGTCCCTTTGGCTTTGCCCCTCTGAGTCTCTGTGCCTTGAACCTCAACTCAGCCTAACCTGGATATAGTCGGGCCATGACTACCTCCCTGAGGTCAGCACTATCCAAGACAATGCAATTTGCTGCCTTTGGGTGTGAGAGAAACCCAGCCACCTGATCTGTTAGCATGGGTTCCGGTTAAGGGTTCTCTTAATTTGAGACAAAGCAGGATCATTCTTTTGCCAGTTCCTGTGACATTATTTCAATGGAGCATTCACATTGTCAGACACCAATCTAGTTCCTGCCTATGAGACTCAGAGAAAAAAAGCTGAAATTTAGCACTGTCCAATATTATAAATGGAAAATACAAAAAGAGAAATAGAAATTCCTGTCTTAATATTCTGCCTTTGGAAATGAGCTTCCGAATTCTCTAGGAAACAAGGCGAGAAGAAAGAGCCCTATGCTGAGAATTGAAGACCTGGCCCAGTGTTCCTGGCTGTGTGGCCAGCTGGCTGTGGCACCTGGGAAAACCCTTCCCTTTCTGTGTGCAGTCTCTGGCCTATTAGGGGAGAATCAGTTGGACTTCAAATAAAACAAGTTTTTTCCAGCTCTTACATTGGTGATTTTATTCATGAGAGATATTTTGTTAGCATGGAAAATTAGAAGCAACTCTAGGAAAATAAGAGAAAACTGCTTCTGGAATCATCGGGATTAAGGAAGCAATAATACCAGTGTCAACATGGACCTCCCCAGGCATGGCTTAGTCCCAGGAACAAGCCTGAAGTAGAGGGTGAATCAGTACTTTCCTTCAGCTCAAAGTCTCCAGGTCTGTGGGTTGAAAACTCCTTTCCAATTCCTCTGGGTGGGGTTCTTGCCTTGGAGTAACCACTGTAATCAGATGTTGAGATCTTTGCCATCATCAGTGCCCCCTTGGCCTTCCCAGATCACCATGATACTGCTGACCAAGAACTAAGGAAGCCTGCTAGGCAGGGAGCATCCAGTAACTGGACGGGACCACCTGCAACAAGAAGGCAGGGGCATAGAATTGCACACAGACAGTCTTGGAGTCTCTGTTGCAGCCTCACTGTGGGAGAAGGCATTATCAGGACCCCAGTGAGGAGTGACTCTTCCCACAAGGGCATTTCAGTGTCACCTCCTTTGTTGCAACATGGAAAGATCTCTATGCTCAAGGACAGGACATAGGTGTACAACTTCCACAACTTAGATGGACACGGCAGAACCACTGTACCAGGCAGACCAGAGGAAGGGGCCTTTCCCTAGTGAATAAGTACTGCGGAAAGACAGCACATGGGAGTTGTTAACCTCTGAGGAACCAGCCCTCCTCACCAACATGGTGGCAAAGCTGACATTTTGTGTTTTGTTTTGTTTTGTCTTTCAGAGAGATTTTTGCTATAGGGCATGTGTACTTGCCAGAGAGACAGAGAGAGACAGAGACAGAAAACAAGAAATCAACCCCCAGGAATCCTTTCTCCTCTATTCTCCTCTTGGGATTTTGGGCACACATGCAAATGCGCCGGCATGTTTGAAGCCACTGGATCTGAGACTTGAACTGCAGTCAGCCATATGAGTCCAGGGATGTAACCACTACGCCATCTGTTGGTCCCAAAGCTGTCATGTTTTATTATATATATATATAATTTAATGTATTTTAATTTGACCAGAGAGAGAGAAAGTGAGAAAGCAGGCCACAAGGTCTATGACTCGAATCATGGTTGGCCATGTGATATTCCAGCACCCCTAACTACCACAAAACCTGCCGGCACCCAAGGCTGTCATTTTTTAAAAAAACACTTAAAACAGTGCAAAAAGAGAAAGAAACATAGGGACCTACTTTAAGAGATCCTGCTTTAAAGGACTATTAAAAAGCACCAGGAGAAGCTCTTCCATAGCTCTTAACATAACTACAGTGACATAATCATGTGATTCATTGTTTAACATCTTTCTTTACTGCAGGAATTTTAGCCCCATCAATTAGTCTATTATACATCCAGATGATAACTTGTGGATTGAATATTGTAGGTAGTCTTTCCATAATTGACTTTAAAAGAAAAGAGGGAATTCTGAAATAGAATAAAGAATTTGAAAATATGAGTCTATCTTCTACCCCCTAGAGCCGGTTGTAGATAAATGCGGTTACATTAATTATACAGTGATTGCTATGTAATTCTCATTCTAGAATCTCTGGTTGTTCTGGTTTCCAGGAGGGCCAGGTTCTTGGATGTTCATACCACCCACCTCCTCAGCATCCAGCTGTAACCACCATGGAAAGCATAACCTGTAATGGATCGTCAGACTCCTCAATCATCTTCTACCTTGTGGGCATCCCCTCTCTGCCAAAATCCTTCTTCTTTCCTATCTTCTTTGTCTTTCTCCTCCTCTACCTGCTCATCCTTATGGGTAACACCCTAATCCTGGTAGCTGTGGTGGCAGAGCCCAGCCTCCACAAGCCCATGTATTTCTTCCTGATCAACCTCTCAACCCTGGACATCCTTTTCACTACGACCACTGTTCCCAAGATGTTGTCCCTACTCCTTCTTGGGGACCACTTCCTCAGCTTCCCTGCCTGTTTCCTGCAGATGTACCTCTTCCATAGCTTCTCCTGTTCTGAAGCCTTCATCCTGGTGGTCATGGCCTATGACCGCTATGTGGCTATCTGCCGCCCACTGCACTACCCTGTCCACATGACCCCACAGACCAATGCTGCACTGGCGGCCAGTGCCTGGCTCACTGCCCTCCTCCTTCCCATCCCAGCAGTGGTACAGACCTCCCAGATGGCATTTGACAACATTGCCCACATCTACCACTGCTTCTGTGACCACTTGGCTGTGGTCCAGGCCTCCTGCTCTGACACTACACCCCAGACGTTCATGGGCTTCTGCATTGCCATGGTGGTGTCTTTCCTGCCCCTCCTCCTAGTCCTTCTCTCCTATGCCCACATCCTGGCCTCAGTGCTTCGCATAAGCTCCCGAGAAGGCCGCTCAAAAGCCTTTTCCACCTGCAGTTCCCACCTCCTGGTAGTGGGCACCTACTACTCATCCATTGCCATAGCCTACGTGGCCTACAGGGCTGACCTGCCCTTGGACTTCCACATCATGGGCAATGTGGTGTATGCCATTCTCACACCTGTCCTCAACCCTCTCATCTACACATTGAGGAACAAGGATGTCAAAGCAGCCATCACCAAAATGGCATGTCCCCAGGAGTCAAAGAATACTGGGAAGCTGTGATTCAAAGGGGCAACTTGATCTTCTCTCATAAACACCGATAATAGTAGAAGAGTGGAAATTTAAGGCAGCCAGGTAATTGGAAACACAATTGTCAAAATACAGTCCTAGGTACTATATTCCTCCATTGTACAAATAATTCATTGTACTAATAATTTTTTTCTTAATTTATAAAAAAATGGATAGGATTTTTCTATTCCATTTTAAAGCTGTGAATCCTATATTTCATAAGACTGACTATAATTGAGGTGACATTAATATTAATTCAAAAACAACTTTGATTCTCAGAGACTGAAAATATTTAACTAGCAAGAAAATCAATCTTATCCCTTGGATCTCTTTTCTCAGTATTTTTGAAAATGCCTCACATTGATGGAACCTAAATGTGAATCCCTTTTTGCTGAAACACCCCCAAGAGAACAACTCCAAAGCTGCTACCATATCCATCCTTGTTGCCTAGAAATTTATTGCCACCACCAATATTTCAATGCCAGCCACATGAGAAATTTCTCTCTGCTGTCTAGGATCTCACTGTGTCTTAAAATCATATTATGCCCCTCTCCCAACTATGCTTAGACAAGGGATGGCCCTTAGCACACCTCTTTGGGCAAAAAAGCATTCCAGTTCTTGTCATTCTCAACACATCCTGTTTCCCCATCCTTGACCCTTGCTTGGTAAATAGAGACTTTCTCCTTATTAGTGGTATCCTGTTCCATGGCCACAACTTTCTCAAAATATAGTCCTACAGATTCCTCTTTCTGGCCTACTGGGTAGTCCAGGCCCCTTATTCCCTTTTCCTACGGTAAATGTTCTTTTCAATACCTGTCTGGTTTGTCCAGCCAGAGACATATAAAATAGTGAAAAGTGTTGGGGAACTTGAGTGACAGATACCTTTATCTCTGGCTCTTCACAGATAGTACCATTCTAATTTTCAATTTTTGCCAATCAAAGCATTAACTTTAACCATTTTCTCATTGCATAAGACTAGTGTAAAGGGGAACTCAACTAAGGATGGTGTAATTCAACAAAAGATATGACTTGGTAGGGGGGACAGCAGATGGCTTAGCAGTTATAGCACTGGACTCTCACATGGCCAACCATGGGTCCCAACCCAAGTAGCTTGAAAATCATGCTGGGCATGTGTTCACATGTGCTCAAGATCCTGGGAGAACAATAGAGGAGGAGGGATTGTGGTGTGGCCATCTCTCCTAGGGGGTGATTTCTGACTTTCCCTCTCACTGTCTCTGTCTCTGTCCAGCAAGCACACATGCCCTAAGGCAAAAACCTCCAAAAATATTACACTCAGATTTCAGCAGTCTCAGAGAACCTGAATGCTATGCTTCATGTGCATCCCCCAAAATTTCATGTGCTAAAATTTGGTTGCCATTGTGATGGTATTAAGAGAGTAAAAATTTACTACCATTTGATCCAGCAATCCCACTTCTGGGTATTTACCCAAAAGACAGGAGATCGTTCAGTCAGAAAAGTGCTTGCACATCAATGTTTATTGCAGCATTATTCACAATTGCCAAGACATGGAACCAACCTAAATGTCCACAAACTGATGAATGGATTGGAAAAGTGTGGAATATATACTCTATGGAATACTATTCAGCCATAAAAAATAACAAGACCCTGGCATTTGATAGAAAGTGGTCAGATATGGAGGATCTATTGCTGAGTGAAGTAAGCCAGGCTATGAAAGAAAGATATTGTATGTATCCACTCAATATATACCGACTATTCACACTCTATGGTAGAGAGCAAAAAGTTGGAGAACATAGATATGGCTTATTAACTGTTGATGATGACATGTATAGAATTCTCAACCGGATTGGTCTGAGAAGTACTTCACGATGGGCAAAGTATTTTTACAAGCAAAATGAGAAATAGCGATTGACTGTTTTAAAAAATAATTAGAATAATAATAATACTGATTGGGGAAAACATAGAAAAGATATTGAATGTTGAAGCAGGGAGATTAATGTCTCTGTATTGACTGACATGCATGGCATTCCCTTTTGAAAAAGCAATGTAATACACTGTAAAGCTATATGTAATCCAATGTAATATAAAGATTATGATGATAATAAAAAATAAAAAAAGAAAAAAAAGAAATGGAAAATTATGTGATGACAATAACACATATGTTGATGTGCTTGATTGAGCCAATATACAGTGTACTGTGAATGGAAAAATCCCATTTTGTATGATATAATGATGTACAGTGAATGAATGTAAATAAATCAATAAAAATAAATTTGAAAAAAATAAAAAAAAGAGTAAAAATTTGATGTGACTATGGTATTAAGAGGTGGGACCTATAAGAGAGGGAGAGATCAAACCAACACTTGTTCCTGTGCACGTACCATGTGATACTCTGCACCACCTCAGGACTCTGCAGAAAGTTCCTGCCAGTAAGAAGGCCCTCATCAAATGGGCCCCTCAATCTTAGACCTCCCTAATTATGAAATAAATAAACCTTTATTCTTTATAAATTACCTAGTCTGTGGTATTCAGTTGTAGTAACCGAGAAATGAACTAAGGCATTGCTATAGTCACAAAGGGCTTCCTAAGTGGAAGCTATATAGTGATATTAAGCCTCTAAATGTCCTTTTTAACTAACCCTGGACAACTGGGAGTGGGACTCATGTTCTTCTATTTAAACCTCATTCTTCCTGAAATATATCCATCCCTTGCTCCTTGAAATTGAGGGACCAGCAGTTGGTGTACTGGTTATGTCACTGGACTCCCATGTAGTCGACCGTGGTTCGAGTCCCGGACCTGGTGGCTTAAACTTCATGCCAGGCACGTGTGCGTGCATTCCCAAGATCCTGAGAGGAGAATGGAGGAGAAGGGATTGCAGCAGTGTCCATCCCCCCTGGGGGGTAATTTCTTTCTTTTTTGTCTCTGGCTCTCTCTATCTTTCTGGCGAGTGTACGTGCCCTATAGCAAAAACCTCTCCAAAAAAAAGAAAAAAAAAATTGACATATAAACCTCAGTTGGATCACAATCCTCTAGGTGTAATGAAGACAGTATAATAAGTTGCCTTGCCCCTGAATCCTATGAACTATTAGAATTTAACCTAAGGGGAACCAGCAGTTAGCGTAATGGCTATGTCGCTGGACTCCCACGTAGTCGACCGCGGTTCGCGTCTCGGACCCGGTGGCTTGAAACTCACGCCGGGCTCATGTGCATGCGTGCCCAAGATCCCGAGAGGAGAATGGAGGAGAAGGGATTGCGGTGTGGCCATCCCCCCTGGGGGGTGATTTCTCGCTTTCTGTCTCTATGTCTCTCTCTGTCTGTCTGGCGAGCGCACGCGCCCTATAGTGAAAATCTCTCCAAAAAAAAAAAAAAAAGAATTTAACCTAAGGATATAGGAAGGAATTTTGGAAAGGGAAGGCCCTATACTCCCAATACCACCCAATAAACAACTGCAGAAGTACTAACCCCCATATTACTTCTGAAGTTCTGTTTTGGGTCTCTCTGCTTAGACCATATATTCTGGTGTCAATTTCAGTTTCAGGACAGCACTTGGTTTTGTCGTGTCCTTCGATCATCTTTCATTGTCATTTCCCCTTCTATTGGGTCATTAAAAAAGTCATGACACATTTTTGCATAGGAAAACAGAATAAAATTTTTTCAGAAAAAAAATATGTTGTGATTTTGCTTTTTTTTTTTTTTTTTTGAAAGATTTTCGCTATAGGGCGCGTGCACTCGCCAGACAAAGACATTAGAGACAGAAAGTGAGAAATCATCCCCCAGGGGGGATGGTCACGCTGCAATCCCTTCTCCTCCATTCTCCTCTTGGGATCTTGGGCACGCGCACACACATGCGCCCGGCCTGAGTTTTAAGCCACTTGGTCCTGGACGTGAACCGCGGTCGACTACGTGGGAGTCCAGCGACATAGCCATTACGCTAACGGCTGGTTCCCATGTTGTGACTTTTCTGATGATGCAATAGATGGAACATAAAATTAATCACGTGGGGAGTGAGTGAATTGTACTGATATAGTTCTATCCCGACTCACTATTTTCTTGTGGCTTCTCCTGAACATTTATCACAGGTAGACATGAAATAAGAGCAGCAACAACAGTAAAAATGCTTTACACCTGTAGTCACACCTGCTAATTGGCAAAGGTTCTTTGTATGTTCCAATTAAAAAAAAATAGCTTCAACTGTTGTGCATCAAAGGACACTATCAAGAAAGGAAACAACAGAAACCAGCAGTTAGCGTAATGGCTATGTCGCTGGACTCCCACGTAGTCAACTGCGGTTCGCGTCCCAGACCCGGTGGCTTAAAACTCACGCCAGGCGCATGTGTGTGTGTGCCCAAGATCCCGAGAGGAGAATGGAGGAGGAGGGATTGCGGCGTGACCATCCCCCCTGGGGGGTGATTTCTTGCTTTCTGTCTCTATGTCTCTCTCTGTCTGTCTGGTGAGCACACGCGCTCTATAGTGAAAATCTCTCCCCTCCTCTCAAAAAAAAGAAAGAAAAAGAAAGGAAACAACTTGGAGCCAACAGGCACATAGTGGTTAAGGTGCTAGACTCCCACATGGCTGACCAGCTTGAATCCCAGGCCCAGCAGCTTGAAAATCAAGTCAGGCATGTGTGAATGAGTGCCCAAACTCCCAAGAGGAAAATGGAAGAGAAAAGGCTGTGGCCTGGCCATCTAACCTGGGGGGTGATTTCTCCTGTTCCCTCTCTCTGTCTCTCTCTGGTGAATGCATGCACAAAGTGGCCTCAGTGTCAGCTGACCTTTTGACAGATGCCCACCTCTGGACCTAGCCATGGTCAGAGGGAAATGTGAGGAATTCAAATCATATAGTTTAACAAGGACACTTAAGAATTAGTGGCAGGGGTAGACAGGTAGGTAGGAGGATTGGGAAGATGTTGGTCAAAATATATAAACATCAGTTAGATGTGAGGAATAAGTTCAAGAGATGTATACCATAACCTGGTGACCATAACTGATGACAACGTATTGTGTACTTGAAAATCA